TATAGGAGCCACTACCATGCTTATGCAAGAAAAAACATAATAACCAACAGAATAGTAAGCAAATACCTACTCCTGTAACGCAAAAAAAGAAACAGAAAACATTTTTTATGCATACTTCACATACTGTAGCTCAAGGTATTAATTGTATGTCTGCAAGTTGATTTAGGAAGAAAAGATTCAGAACATTTTTTTCTATGCTTCAGTGATTTACACATTTTTTTGGTTGCTAAATCAATACATTTTATTTAATTTATGAATAATGTTTTATTTTATGAATTTTTTGTACTTGTGTTTTAACACTTTTAGAAATTAATTAATGTTTGGTTCTTCTGTCTTTCTGATATATCTTTATTGTTAGAAAGAGATGTTAGTAAAAACTCTTTATAGTAATTAAAGTAATATCTTGACAAATAGTTCTGAAATTCTATGGATGAACTTTCAGCAGTAATTTAATGATTATGATAACAGTTTAAATGATTCTTGGGTGAGGTCAGAAGTGATGGGTTGTTTCAAACCATGATTTTTCGCAGTTTTATTGTTTTTTGATTAAGTATTTATTAATAAATTAGCCTAAGTTAATCTACTTATATTTTTTTATAAATGTACTATAAAAATAATGTGGTGTAATTATTTTCTTAAACCTATAGGTTAACAAACTTTCTAAAATTGGAGGTAAAACCATTAAAACAATTACAAATACATGTGATGCAAAGGTTTGTTAAAAGTAGTTTTAAATAAAAAATCTTTTGAATCTTTTTATTATAGTTTGTTTTAAACTTGCGTTAAAAATCTGTGTAGCATATATTTTTAAAAGTTTGACGAATTCTAATCAGACATAAAATAAATCTTTTTTTTTAATGTCTCATTAACTGTTTTCTCTTACTTTTGTATTTCCTTGAGCTAAAGAACAACCTTAAAGTACAAAGGTTGATTTGTAACGCATACTTTTTTTTTACTCTATATATACATACATATATATGTACATAAATAAACATACATATATATGTATGTATATATACATACATGTGCTTATATAAATATATTATATATATATATATATATATATACATATATATATATATATATATATATATATATATATATATATATATATATATATATATATATATATATATATATATATATATATATATATATATAAATATATATATATATATATATATATATATATATATATATATATATATATATATATATATATATTTATATATATATATATATATATATATATATATATATATGTAATAGTGCAATTTAAAGTTTTTTCTTTTATTTATAAAGTTGCACTTGATAAAAATAAATAAATAAAGATGAACATTTTGAATATTTATTGATTATTATGATAAATTATATAAAATATATATAAAGTATAAATATTTTGCAAAAACACTTATATTTGCAATAACTGCTTCATTGCATTGTGGCATGCTTGCAATTTAATTTTTAAAGTTTCTGTCAACTCTTGGTTATTATGCTAGATCTTGATAATCTCTTCCTTATTAGTAAGATTATTTTTTTTCTAATCTTTTGCTTTACTATTTCCCAAATATTTTCAATGGGGTTAAGATCATGCGAGTTGTCTGGCTATAGCAATACATCAACTAAGCCATAACAGTTTTTATTGTGTGGCAAGTTGCACCATCTTGCATAAATATAAGATTTTTGACATTATTTTTAAATTTTTTTGTCAATTTTTGACATTTTTGGCTGGACATCAATCTCTCTTCTTTTAGTCTTCTACAAATGGTCCGGTCTGACACAACAATTATAGCTTCATGGATAAGCTTAGTGGCTTTTTTTCTCTTTTCCAGGCAGATATTTCTGATTATACTGTCCGCTCTTGGTGTTTTCTTGCGTTTAGAAGGTGGTCTCCTTGGACCAAACTCTTCCCCTGTTTTAATTCTTTTTCTTACTTGCATTACGGTTTGGTAAGAAACCTTTGCGGTTTGTGCAATTTTTCATTGAGAATAATTTGTATTTTGTAAAAGATATGTTTATCAATTTTTAATGTAACTATAATAATAATAACAATGTTTAATGCAGGATGTTAACCAATGGTTTAAAATCAAAATTTAATATGGCTGGCGGTAAAGGTAAAGAGAAGTTTAAGGGAACAAACATTAGGTATTTACTTGTAAGTTAAGTGTAAAATTATATATTTTTAAAAAATCACAGTTTGTTTTTTTAATGCTAATTTATTTTTTTAACTTTTTGATGTATTTAATGTAAATTACTCAGGCAATACATTTTTCATAGAGAGCGTTTCGTCAATTAAAGTGACTGCTACAGTTACCGAAATAAGAAAAGGAATAATGACTTTATTAAAATACGCACTCGACAGATCAAATGGTGGTGGTCGGCGCGTAAAAGGCGATTCACCCGATGTATAATATTCATACTTTTTCCTAGTTGTTCTGGAACTATTGATAATAGTTATTATTGATAAATTGATAAATACATTACTGATAAATAAAACTTT